CCCAAAGGATTACAAATCATTCTGCTATAAAGACACATGCACAGGTATGTTTATTGCAGCACTGTTTACAATAGTCAAGACTTGGAACCAACCCAAATGCCCATCAATGATAGACTGGATAAAGAAAATGTGGCACATATACACCATGGAATGCTATGCAGCCATAAAAAAGAATGAGTTCATGTCCTTTGCAGGGACATGGATGAAGTTGGAAATGATCATCCTTGGCAAACTAACACAGGAACAGAAAACCAAACACCACATGTTCTCACTCATAAGTGGGAGTTGAACAATGAAAACATATAGACACAGGGAAGGGAACATCACACATTGGGGACTATCAGGGCGTGAGGGGTAAGGGGAGGGAGAGCATTAGGACATTTAAAAATACCTAATGCATATGGGACTTAAAACCTAGACGATGGGTTGATGGGTCACCAAACCACCATGGCACATGCATCCCTATGTAAACAAACCTGCACATTCAGCACACGTATCCCAGAACTTAAAGTAAAATAAATAAAGTAAAATAATTAAAAGAGTAAAAAAACCAAAAAACAAAAACAAAATGTTTAGCTAGACATGGCCAATGGATTGAGAATTAGACCAGTCTTGCCATAACTTTCTGCAGGTTTGTTACATTAGATACAGATATAAATGTAAAACTTTTATAAATTCAAATAATAAAAAAATGATGTTTTTAATCTGTACTCAGGAATAGACAGACATATGTTTTATATAAAGAGAGTCTATTTCAGCATGGCAAAACTCCATCTCTACTAAAATTACAAAAATTAACTGGGCATGGTGACGTGTGTCTGTGGTCCTTGCTACTCAGGAGGCTGAGATGGGAAGATCGCTTGAGGCCAGGGGACAGAGGTTACAGTGAGCTATGATTGTGCCACTGCCCTCCAGCCTAGGTGACAGAGCAAGACCCCGTCTGCAAATAAACAGTAAAATAAAAATAAAATAAAATAAAAAAGTACAGACAGATGCAGTTACTCATACCTGTAATCCCAGCACTTTGGGAGGTTGAGGAAGGAGGATCACTTGAGGCCAGGGGTTCAAGACCAGCCTGGGCAACACAGAGAGACCACATCTCTACAAAACACACACCAAAAATTAGCCAGCTTGGTGGCACACGCCTGTATTCCCAGGTAGTCAGGAGGCCTGAGGTGAAACGATCCTTTGAGCCATCACATACAATTTGCAGCCAGGTGGAAGACAGTACAGGCTTCAAAGCCTCCATTAACTCAATGAACCGCTTCCCCAGCACAGGAACACATACACAAAGACTTACCACCACATCACTTGCCTATGGGAGCCAGCATTTCTCCTTGGAGTTAGCAAGGGATGAGCTTTTCATTGTCACTGTGGCTTATCAGTTTATGCAAGTCAACACATTTGGACAAGGACTGAAACCAGGATGGAATCCATCGTACCTCTCTCTTTATAATGGTGGCATTTAAAAAAGTATTTTGTACAGACAGGATCTTGCTATGTTGGCCAGGGTGGTCTCAAACTCCTGGCCTCAAGTGATTCTCCCATCCCTGCCTCCCAAACTGCTGAGATTATAGGCATGAGCTACTGTGCCTGCCTAAAACAATGCCATTTTTAAAATGAGGTGCACTTAAAGAAAGGGTGTATTTGGTAGGCAAAATAAGTACCCTCCAAAGATGTCCAGGAACTCATCCCTGAAACCTGTGAACATGTGAGATGACAAGGCAAGGGAGGAAATGAGTTGGAAGGTGCCAATGACAGGTACCAATCAGCTGATCTGAAACGTGGATATTGTCCTGGGTTATCTCTGTGGGTGTCCAGTGGAATCCCAGGAGTCTTTCTAAGTGTAAGAGAGAGGCAGGAGAAAGGAATCAGAGAGACAGTGACATGAGAAGGATCCCCCAAAATGCTGGCTTTTACAATGAAGAAAGAGGCCATGAGACAAGGGATAGAGGGAGCTTTCAGAATCTGAAAAACACAAGAAAACAGCTCCTCCCCTACCACTCTCGAAGGGACACTGCCCACTGACATCTTGACTTGTAACCCAGACACTCATCCCAGACTTTACATGAAAGTATAGAACTGCAAGGTAATAAATGTATTTTTAATTCTAAACATTTCACTAACTTATTTTAATTGGCAAATTTAAATGGCATACAGCATCTACAACAGGTTGCTTTGAGATATGTATACATTGTTGAATAGCTACATTGAGCTAGTTGACATCTGCATTACTTCACCTAAGTATAATTTTCTTTGTGGTGAAAGCTCTTAAAATCTACCCATTAAGCCAGGCGTCCCCAAACTTTTTATACAGGGGGCCAGTTCACTGTCCCTCAGACCATTAGAGGGCCACCACATACTCTCACTGACCACCAATGAAAGAGGTGCCCCTTCATGAAGTGTGGTGGGGGGCTGGATAAATGGCCTCAGGGGGCCGCATGCGGCCCGCAGGCCGTAGTTTGGGGACGCCTGCATTAAGCAATCTTTAAAAATAAAATACTATCATTAGCTATCATCACGTTTTACAATTGATTCTTGAATTTACTCCTCCTGTCTAACTGAAATCTTTTACCCTTTGGCCAACATCTCCCCAACCTTCCACCTCCCCCAGCTCCTGGAAACCACCACTCTATTCTTTGTTTCTGTGAGTTCAACTGTTTCAGATTCCACATCACAGTGAGATAATGAAGCAAGGCTCAGCTGCACTCGCCTGGAATCCCAGCAATTTGGGAAGCCAAGGTGGGAGGATCACTTGAGGCCAGGAATTTCAGACCAGTCTGGGCAATACAGGGAGACTTCATCTCTAGAAAGAATATATATATATTTTAGCTGGGTGTGGTGCACACACCTGTGTTACCAGCTACCCTGAAGGTTGGAGTGGGAGGATCACTTCAGCCCAAAAGGTTAAGGTTGTTGTAAACTGTGATCACACCACTGCACTCTGGCTGGGCCAGAGCAAGACCTTGTCTCTAAAAAATATGTGACTTTAAGTATGCAGTTACTCACTTGAAGTAGTAAGGGGTGACATAAATATCAACTGTTCCATCACTAAGTACATTGTGGCCTCTTTCTTGTCCTTCCACTATAAATAGTCAGTTAGCCCAGTATGTACAACAGAACTCTCACGTGGACCCCTGCAGTCCTTTTTTGCTTCTGTAACTACTGAAAGAGATCTCAAATAAGAATTGCCTTAGAAGCTTGAAGTAGTACTTAGTAGTACCAACACTCACTTTGGGTAAAAGGAAAATCTTTTATGAAAATGCAAACTTTAGGAATTAAATGCTCACCACAGGGACTCATTTATTCCTGTATAAGTGATTGCAGGCAAAAAAACAAAATCTGAATGAACATTTTTTTTCTTAAACTTGGGAAACCTAGAAAAGATAAGAGTGGTATATTGGGACCAATCAAATAAAAAGCACAAGGAAAAATGAGAGGAAGTCGCTTCTCTCCTCCCAATTATTGTGTTTTGAATGATTCATGAATGGAATTTCAGAAACTCAGCAAAAGAATACATTTAATAGACTTAGTCCAAATATATTCTGAATTTCATATTTACTAAATAAAGTGTTTCCAAATGAACATTTATTTTTTTACATGTTACATGTAAAAATTCTTTTACATGCACATCTTTTTAACACGTTTCAACATGCAAAAAAATCTTTTTAACATGTTGTTATATGTTATTATGTGTGAAAACTGCCTATTAAAAAAAGGAAAGGTAGGCGAATTCATCATTCAGGCTTTTAGATGCACGTATAAACTTCCACATAATCCACGAATATTAAACTGGAAAAAGACAGAACTCTACATAATTTACCTTGCCACAGATATGAAATAACTGTAAGCATACATAAATGTTAACAAAATACTTTCATTCAATGCTAAGGGGAGGTATCATTGAATGGTGGACCAGAACTAAGCGACATTTTGATGTCTTTGTGGAAATGACATACCCACAAACCAGTGGCTCAGTACTGATATTAATATATTTTGCTCAGTTGCCTTAATCATTTATAGTAATTTTTTCAAGAATATAGATATTAAGGTATTTTTAATAATTTTGATAAGACCATAGAGTATATATATTTTTTGAAGTCATACTTTCATTGGAATTGCTTCTTTCTCATAATGAGTAAATACAAAAGAATGCACAGATAAGATAGGTTTTGTTGTCGTCTTCTTTTTTTTGAGACAGAGTCTTGCTCTTGTTGCCCAGGCTGGAGTGCAGTGGCACAATCTTGGCTCACTGCAACCTCTGCCCTTCTGGGTTCAAGCAATCATCCTGCTTCAGCATCCCTGGTAGCTGAGGCTACTGGTGTGTGTCACCACATCCAGCTAATTTTTGCATTTTTAGTAGAGATGGGGTTTCACCCTGTTGGCCAGGCTGGTCTTGCACTCCTGACCTCAAGTGACCCACCTGCCTTGGTCTCCTAAAGTGTTGGGATTACAGGCATCAGCTACTGTACCCGGCTGGCTTTGTCATCTTTTATCAGAAAAATCTGTACTTTTCCATGCCCATGCTTTCTACATTTTTGGAACTGACAAATATGCACAGAGGCCAAACCTACATTTAAATTATCTTTAATGTTAAATTTTAATTAGCCATGTAAATAACTGCGCAGTTGCTGCTTTCTCACAGAAATGTCTAGGGTTCATTCAACAGATGATAGAAACGAGGTCTGGCCTTTTACAGACAAATGACAGAAGAGCTATACTAATTTATACAAGAATTTTCATTATGTAGTTTACTATAGCTCAAGTTTTGCTTGTATCATATAACATAGGTTCAACTTCTTTCTTCAGTCATCAGAATAACAGAGGTTGAAGAGACAACTGAGCAACTGTCAACTCTTCCAAAATCTGTTTAAAAAAAATAACTAACTGTGATATACATTTCTGCAAATAAAATATTCCAATGCTTACATAAATCCTGAGTTTTTAATATTAAATATGCACTACTTACAGTTCTGACACAATTTTATTTAAAAACATGGCTAGTTTTCGAGTCCACTTTCTTCATCAGACAAAATGCCGTAATAACTGTTTTCAGACTCCTTGGTAGCCTAGAAGAAAAAGTGTAGTTCACTGACAAACCACCATTTTATATCTCACGTTTTAAACAGGGTTAACCAAATGTTAAGAGTAAACAGCTTATAATATTCAAAGCATGCTGGTTATTTATTTCAAATAGAAAAAAACTGTAATCAATACATGGTGCTCCAAATATCCACTTAAATTTTTTAATGCCAGATTTCTGTGAAGACAATTTTAGCAGGTCCAAGAGTCATGGACTTTGCTTGAATAAAATGGCTTGAAGAATTTCTTAAGATCAAGATGGAGCAAAGACAGAAAAAGCTGGGCAGTCTTATATCATGAAACATTATATTTTTTTCAGCAGGTAGTGACCCATTTATTATCAGCAGTAGTCTACATAACGTTGTTTCCACTGAAGAGATAAAATGGTTGGTGATATGACCTCATCAAGTCAGAGGAAACGTAACTATGTCTATACTCTTTACTCAACAAATAGTTCAACAGCCCCTACTCCCTAAAATGTCGTATGTTAATGCTGAGGAAGAAGTAAAAAATGTATAATCTCTTCCATATTCCTGTGACATGAGCAAATGCACAAACTCAAAAAAAGTAATACAAAAGTTGTGCAACTGCTATGGAAGGGCAACTCACTTGGACATGTAGTCAAAGATGGAGACTGACATCGGCTTAGTTGGCAAAAGGTTTCAATTGGTCCAAAAAAGGGAAAAAAATTAAAAGCATTGTGAGGGAAGAGCAAAACATAGGAGCAACGATGAGTTCCTTCAGGGAAGGCTGTCTACCTGGAGAGGCGGGAGCAAAGACAAGAGGGCGGCAAAACAAGCCTAAGAAGCGGTCATGTAAAGGGGAGAGTCTGAATATCTAAGAACTGAGACATGGGTACCACTGACAGTCTGGGAGGAGCGAAGCTAGGAAGCATTTTAGGAAGGGAAGGGTTTTAGGAAGATAATATTGCTGATCAATGAAGGATGGCTCAGAATAGAAGAGAGAACTCAGAGAAGAGTTTAATAGTATGGGCAAGGAAGAATGAGGTCTTGAACTAGCGCAGCCTCAGTGGGAATTTAAAGAAAGACATTTAAGGACCATTGCAGAGGTGAAACTTGCCTCGTGATAACTGGATGGGAAGGATAATGGACTCAGAAGAGTCCAAGATGATAGCAAAGGTCCTGTGGTAACATGTAGCATTAATGTTGACAGGAAAACTTTTCTAGTCTCATGTTCGTACCAATTAATAAATTGTTTCTGGGGAACACTGTAGCAACAAGTTCTCTACTTGTGACTTCTATTTAAATAACTGTTTGTGTATAGATCATCCTCAAGTTGCTTGAAAATTTTATTTTCAAACTCTTTTCTCAGTTTACTTACCACATCTCAGTGTAGAAGAGTGACATATGAACATGTATTTTCACAAGGTTATTAAAAAGAATACCTTACTTCCCTAAAAATAATTGCATTGTTTCCTAAATTATATACATCTACATGAAGAAGATGTCATCATCTGGCTTTCCCATTCTGTTATACATCTGAACCATATCTTATGATTACAAATTGTCATGTAAAACCATTACTAGTCACTAATAATTTTGGTGAGTATGCCATAAAACACTCCTGTATTACAGCAGGAAACAGAAGAGACACTCAGTAGTTACACTTGCCTACTTCCTATTTAACTAAAACTCTTTTTTTTTTTTTTTTTTTTTTGAGACGGAGTTTCGCTCTTGTTACCCAGGCTGGAGTGCAATGGCGCGATCTCGGCTCACCGCAACCTCTGCCTCCTGGGCTCAGGCAATTCTCCTGTCTCGGCCTCCTGAGTAGCTAGGATTACAGGCACGCGCCACCATGCCCAGCTAATTTTTTGTATTTTTAGTAGAGACGGGGTTTCACTATGTTGACCAGGATGGTCTCGATCTCTTGACCTCATGATCCACCCGCCTCGGCCTCCCAAAGTGCTGGGATTACAGGCTTGAGCCACCGCGCCCGGCCTAACTAAAACTCTTGAAACAACACAAGCATGAAAGACATCCAGAAAGGATTTATGGACTTCTTGCCTTCCACCATAGATTTGTCATTGATGTTCTGAAAACTGAAATAAAACCTTCATTAAAACCCATTTATGCCTATTGTTCCATTATTCGTAAGCTAAGCTTGTGGGAATCATGTATATCCTACTGCTCAAGGTCATAACCAAGATCTGATTTTTCACACACACGAAATTTGCAGCCTCCAGCATAAATGGGCGAAATGTGGTCATAAAGTGTCAGTTTTATATACTAGATGTATATTTGCAGGTAAAATTTCCGATTTACCTTTTCCTGTTCTAAATAACTCCCACAAAACTATTCATTAATCCTAAAAATACATTTGCTAGTTACGTTAAATTTGGAACAATACATTCAAAGTGAAAATGGTAATTTAAAATGTATAACCAAAATATCTTTCCATACATTCAGAAACAAGCAGACTTTCTTCTATTATGCACGTGTTGAATTTTATAATGTATCATGTTACCAAACAGAACAGACCTTTAGGAACTGCTTATGTAGCTGCTTCATCTCTTTTAGCCTCTTTATCCTAACCCTTCTATATTCTTGCCACTTCTTCTGTTGTCGTTGAAATGTTTTCTAGAAGCACAAAACAAAGTAGTGACAAAAATTGGGTAAATTTTAATACCTACAAAACATAATTCTGCATTAGCTTTAAAGGGATACTCTTTAAAACTAAACTTCTTAACACTTTCTTTTAAACATTTATGACCAATTTTTAAAAACTGTGTTCATCACTCATATGCTAAAATGATATAATAACCTTTTTCATCAGTCACTGAGTAAAGAATTTTCTTTCTTATACATATTCAACACATGTCTTGATTCTTGATTCAAATGAAGAGTATATGATGACTCTTACTATAATTTGTTGACCACAGGTAAGAGCTATACAGAAGTTAAGAAACATTCTTTCTTACTAAGATTTTAAACATGTTCTAAATCTCGGTCATTTCAGTATGCACATAAATAGATGAACCTTCTAATAATGACTGGCTTTCTGCACCTTGATCTAACATTCAACTACAGTGTTCTCTCTTCTACGTGACACTCACTCGCACAGTCATCCCCGAGATTTTGTCATTCCCAATGACTTTAACAGGTACATAATATTAAGAATAGCAATAATAAAGAACAACCATGGGTCAGATTATATCCTGAAAAATTTAAATAAACCCGTTACACAGAAACCCTTTAATCCTCCAAAGGACTCTTGAGGTAAGCACTCTTACCATGTCTGCTTTCATGGATAAGGAAACTGAGGCACAGAGATACTTTGCCCAAGGTTTCTGAGCTAGCAATGGTCAAACTGGAGTTGGTTCCCAAGCAATGTGGTTCCAGAGTCCCACCCCTTGACCACTGCACTCAGCTGTTTCTCCATCTTCCCAACATACAGTCACTATTTCCCTCCCTACCATTGTGAGTCACTTTTTTCAGTACTACAGCTCAGGAGTCTGTTGGGACCTGACACCCATTGAATGGAACACTTTTCACTGACCAATGCCCCACTCCCATGTGCTCAGGTTACTCAGTCCCAGCTGAAATTCCATAGCCAGTCATCACAACCCCATCTCTGTGTCTATGCCCTGTGCAACTCTCTCTCTATCAATGTGCTCGGCTACACCCCAACCCTATAGCTGCTCTTGCACAAGTATGCCAATTGGGGTCACTTTAACTTCTTAATCCTATGATGCTGACCTCAATTGGACCCCTAATGCTGCGTGACAATTATATTTCCCTAGTCCAGCAGTCCACTAATGGGTCCCCCCTCTCTCGGTTTATGTTCTCTCCCTTCTTTTTTGGATTTCTGCATGAATTATTCCTGAGACATTAATACAACAGGTTAATCACAAAGCTAAGCCTGATACCAACAATTATATCTTCTTTTTCTTCTTCTTCTTCTTCTTCTTCTTCTTCTTCTTCTTCTTCTTCTTCTTCTTCTTCTTCTTCTTCTTCTTCTTCTTCTTCTTCTTCTTTTTCTTCTGCTTCTGCTTCTGCTCCTTCTTCTGCTTCTTCTTCTGCTTCTTCTACATCTTCTGCTTCTTCTCCTTCTGCTTCTTCTCCTTCTGCTTCTTCTCCTTCTTCTCCTTCTTCTTCTTCTCCTTCTTCTCCTTCTCCTTCTTCTTCTTCTCCTTCTTCTCCTTCTCCTTCTTCTCCTTCTCCTCCTTCTTCTTCTTCTGCTTCTTCTTCTTCTGCTTCTTCTTCTGCTTCTTCTGCTTCTGCTGCTTCTTCTGCTTCTTCTTGTTCTGCTTCTGCTTCTGCTGCTTCTTTTGCTGCTGCTTCTTCTTCTGTTTCTTCATCATGATCTTGCTGCTCCTCTGCAATGTATTCTTCAAGGACATGCAGGAACTTCAGAGTATGTCTGTAATCACGTTTCTGCCTATAACACATAATAAGTAATACTATCATATGTCACAGAGAGATGATAAATTAATCCTTTTCAAGTCAAAACTGACTTGACATAATTTATACTATAAAGTAGCAAGGGAGTAACAGCAGCTGAAATCTTGTTTTGGGGAAAAGGTGAAATGAGTTGCTCTCATTCTAAAAGGATTCTTTCCTTCCTGATTACTAGAGCAACTATCTCACATTCTTTACATGCTGAAGACAAAGGAGAATTTACTCAACTATAAATTTCCTAGAAACATTCATTTTCTCTAAGAGCAGTTTACTTTTCCTTTCCTCTTACTAAATAGCATAAGGGTTCTCATAAGTAGGTTCAAGAATATCATAGCCATTCATCCTGTAAGATTTCCCAAACGAAATACTTCACTTAACTATTTCTCCACTTTGGCACAACAGTGATTTTCTAAAAGGAATAGTGAAAACAATTTAACTAAAATAGGTAACTTATTTACAATATAAGGTTATCCCTTTCTACATAACTGAATACCATTAAGGATCTCCAGACTAAACGCTGAAGACATGTATCTTATATTTAGCTACTGTATTTCTAAAAATGGATAAAAATTAATTTTATGAGAAAACTAATTTTTATCTAGAAGGCAAAAAGAGGTCATTGACTTCTAGGTAATATCTCTCAATTCTGTTAAACCGAGGCTATAAAACTAAAGAAACTTACCTGCCTAGGGAACAGTCAAGTAAAATATGTTGTTCACTAGAGATGCAGATATGTACAGAATAGTTTTGAAATTATTTGTGCCAACAAATACAAAGAAAAGATATAAATATCATTATGCAAACAGCCAACAACCATACCTTTTCAGTTGTTTTTTTCTCAAAGCACGTTGAATTGTGTTCGTTATTTTCCTGTAAGCTGCTTTATCCATTTTAATATTTTTTTTTCTTGCACCAAGATCCTCTCTAATGTCAGCTAGATAGTAAATGAAAGTGCATTAAACGTAAATGCTGAAAAGTAGTTTCTTTGCATATATTGAAATCAGTATGAGACATGATGTTTCAGCAATATCTAAAGGACATTTAAATCGTAAAATGCAAAGATCATTTCAAAAACCAAGATTTACTCACTTATTTTCTGTAAAACATTTCAGGTATTAATATTAGTATTCTGATTCCAATTGTTATAACTGCAAATCACTTAACTGATGGATGATGAAGAAAAGCAAATAATTAAAACAGTTTCTATTTTTTAAATGTGCAGAAAGGGTTACAAACACAGACTCCATTTTCTAAATTTATAAAATGTCCTACAATTCAAAGGACACGTTTCCATGAAATACCATCACAATTCATCATGTAAAGCACAAAAAAAGTATCTTATTTAATAAGACCATTAAAAGGATAGAAATAATACACAATAAGAAAAGTATTTTTAAGCAAATTAACTGTATTTTGATAAAAGAAGCAACATCTGTAGACATAAAAATTTAGGTTAAAGTAAAGAAATACATTCAAAATGACTTTTGAAATATTTTCTGGGAGTTTTTCATATGACATTTTAATCCATAGTGCTGTGTTTCAGGAAAATGTAATACTACAAGGAATGCTTTCCTAAACTTGGTTTCACATCAGAGATCTACCATCAATTGCTAAGAATAGTTTTCAGCAATCATAAAAGATCTGCACCATAATAGAAATATTTTTTACATACAGTCTACATCTATAATGCTCAGTTAGGCAGCTCACAAAACCAGCAGTTAGTCACCAAGTAGAGCAAAGCTTTCCAAATACACTGCTTGTATGAATTATCACTATAGAAGAGCTGAAAACTGAATTAAGCTTTTTAAAAATAAGAGTATTGTCTCCATCATCTCTACAGAAATTTTCTCAAACTTGTTTTGAAAATATGGTCTGAGGCTGGGTGCGGTGGCTCACGCCTATAATCCCAGCACTTTGGGAGGCCGAGGCGGGTGGATCACGAGGTCACGAGATTGAGACCATCCTGGTCAACATGGTGAAACCCCGTCTCTACTAAAAATACAAAAATTAGCTGGGCATGGTGGCGCGTGCCTGTAATCCCAGCTACTCAGAAGGCTGAGGCAGGAGAATTGCCTGAACCCAGGAGGCGGAGGTTGCGGTGAGCCGAGATTGCGCCATTGCACTCCAGCCTGGGTAACAAGAGCGAAACTCCTCCTCAAAAAAAAAAAAAAAGAAAAAAAGAAAATATGGTCTGATAACAGTCAGTGCAACTAATATTTCATATGGCAATACAAAATGTATGAGTTTTTGGATCTAATTACGTGTTTTTCACTAGGTAGAAAAGTTGTCTTTAGTTTTCTACTACACAGTTTATTACTGAAATAATAATAGAAAATCACCATTTTAGAGAATTCCATTTTCTCTGGTACATCAGAAAGCTGTGACAATAGAATAGCTGAATTAGGAAGATGAAAAACTCATATTAAAAACTCTGAGCACAAAGGGACAGGAAGAGGGGAACAACAGACACTTGGTCCTACTTGAAGGTGGAGGGTAGGAGGAGGGTGAAGATGAAAATCACCCCTCAGGTACTATACTTCTATCTTGAGTGACAAAACCCTGTGATACGCAGTTTCTTTATATAACAAAAACTGCACATGTACCCCCAATCCTAAAATAAAAGCTAAAAGAACTGATATATGACTTAATCTGTGCATGCTAAAAGGAACAAATAGAGCTGTTTCTCCTCCAGTGTCCTCTAATATCCCCTAAACAATTAAATTTCCACATGTAATGAAAGAAAAGCCATCCCTCTTGCTTCATCATTGTTAGAAGTATTCTCACATTCCACATCCACAATCAAAAGGTAAGAAAAATTTATCAAACACATTATGTTAAATATGTATATTAAATGCTATATATGAGAAGAAGGCATGTAAGACAGTCTGTCATCCACTAATTCACATAACCTACTGTAACAGTTGTATGATTGAAAATAACTTTCGCAAACTATGAATAGCTCCTAAAGCATACCTGCAATATCTTCTAGCTTCTTGGTATCAAACCTGTAAAAAAAGTTACAACAAAATTTTAACATAGGACTACACAAAATGCCATGTTTGTTGGGAAAAAATGTCTTATGTGAAATGTTTTGCATAGAATAGAACAGTGGCGATATGATCCAAAGCTGACTTTTCCTAAAAGACCCTATCCCGGGAAAAGTCGGGAAGATGGCCGACTAAGAACAGCTCAGGACTTCAGCTCCCAGTGAAAGTGCAGAGGGTGAGTGGACGCTGCATTTCCAGACGAATTTTTATTGCCCACAGACCAGGAGATACCCAGGCAGCGGAGTCGCCACCGCCACTGTTCCGGCCGGTGTGGCTGTTTTGGCCCCCGTGGGGCTGATTTGGCCCCCAAGGCTGCTTAGACCACACCCTGTCGCAGCAGTTCTCCATACAAAAGCCACTGGTCTGGGAGCCCTCTTAGCTGGTGAGCCCTGAGACAGCAGAGTTGCCCATTCATCTGAAACAGCGAGCCACGCCAGGAGCTTCCTAGGCAAAAAAACTGCCAGGAGCCTTGGCGCCACTGTTTGAGCCGACTCAGTGAGTCGCAGCACGGGAGATCCCGGCGCCTTTTCAACAAGCGACTGGAATGCTGAGTCGTTCAACTTAAATTAAAAAAAAAGACTCTGAGTCAGGGAGCCAGGTGATCAGGCTCGGTTGGTCCCAGTCCCCCACCCCCAACAACAACGAAAACAAAAACAGTAACTGGAAACCCTCTGGGTTGAGTCCTTCAAACCAAGCACAGCCGAACCCGGGATGGCCCGGCTCTGTCGGGGAGAGGCGTCCGCCATTACTGAGACTCTCCACCACTACAGAGACAGGCCGCCGTTGCTGAGGCAACCCGCCGTTGCTGAGGCAACCTGCCACAACAGAGAGAGTCCGCCATAACAGAGGTGGGGCCACCATTGCCGAGGCAGTTCTAACTATGCCCATATAAACAGGACTGCAGCAAAGAGCACAGGGCAGCTGGGCGGAGCCCACAGCAGCTCAGCAAAGCCTCCGCAGGCAGACAGTGGCTAGGTGGGCTGCTAGCTGGGTGGGTCAGACCTGAAAGAAAAAACAAAAAAGGCAGTAGCACAACGGAAACTCATAAAGCCCTAACTCCCTGGGACAGAACACCTGGGAACAAAAAGCGGTTTATGAGTTCAGCTGCAGCCGACCTAAACGTACCTGCCCAGCAGCTCTGAATGAACAACGGAGCTCACAGCTCAGGACTTAAGCCCCAATAAAAGATAGACTGTCTCCTCAAGTAGCTCCCTGACTCCCATAGATCCAAAGAGTCACCTCATAAAGGAGAGAACGGACTGACAGTTGGCGAGCATCCTTCTGGGATAAAGATAGCGGAAGAGGAAACTGGCAGCAACCCTTACTGTTCTGCAGCTGCTGCAGGTGATCCCCAGGCAAGCCGGGCCTGGAGAGGACCTCAGCAGTCCTACAGCAGAGGGGGCAGACTGTTAGAAGGAAAGCTTAAAAAAAAAAAAAAGCAACTTCAGAATCCACGAACTAGAAGCTCACTCAGAGAGCCAATCTGAAAGACAGTAACTACAAAGACAACAGGTGGATAAACCCACAAAAATGGGAAGAAACCAGCACAAAAAGGATGAAAACTCCTGAAACCAGAACACCTCTCCTCCTAAAAGGGATCACAACTCCTCACCAGCGAGGGAACCAGACCGGATGGAGAAGGAGTGTGATGAAATGACAGAATCAGACTTCAGAAGGTGGATAGTAAGAAACTACAGTGAGCTAAAAGAACATGTTCTAACCCAAGACAAAGAAACTAGGAACCTTTAAAAAAGATTGGACGAAATGCTAACAAGAATGGACAGCATAGAGAGGAATATAAGTGAATTGATGGAGCTGAAAAACACAACATGAGAACTTTGTGAAACATGCACAAGTTTCAACAGCTGAATTGACTAAGCAGAAGAAAGGATATCAGAGGTCGAAGATCAACTCAATGAAATAAAAAGAGAAGGCAAGAACAGAGAAAAAAGCACAAAAAGGAATGAACAAAATCTTCAAGAAATGTGGGACTATGTGAAAAGACCTAATCTACGTCTGATACGTGTACCTGAATGTGATGAAGAGAATGAATCCAAGCTGGAAAATACTCTTCAGGATATTATCCAGGAAAACTTCCCCAACCTAGCAAGGAAGGCCTATATTCAAATCCAGGAAATACAGGGAACACCACAAAGATATTCCTCACGAAGAGCAACCCCAAGGCACATAATCGTCAGATTCGCCAGGGTTGAAATGAAAGAGAAAATGCTAAGGGCAGCCAGACAGAAAGGTCGGGTTGCCCACAAAGGGAAACCCATCAGACTCACAGCAGATCTCTCAGCAGAAACCCTACAAGCCAGAAGAGATTGGGGGCCAATATTCAACATCCTTAAAGAAAAGAACTTTCAACCCAGAATCTCCTATCCAGCCAAGTTAAGTTTCGTAAGTGAAGGAAAAATAAAATCCTTTGTGAACAAGCAAGCACTCAAGAGATTTCATCACCACCAAACCTGCTCTACAAGAACTCCTGAAAGAGGTTCTACACATATAAAGAAACATCCAGTACCAGCCATTCCAAAAACATACCAAATGGTAAAAGAGCATCAACACAATCAAGAATCTGCATCAACTAACCAAAAAAACAACCAGGTAGCATCAAAATGACAGTATCAAATTCACACATAATAATACTATCCCTAAATGTCAATTGACTAAATGCCCCAATCAAAAGACACAGACTGGCAAATTGGATAAAGCCAAAAACCCATCAGTGTGCTGTATCCAGGAAACCCATCTTACATGCAAGGATACACAAAGGCTCAAAATAAAGGGATGGAGGAAGATCTACCAAGCAAATGGAGAGCAAAAAAAAGCAGGAGTTGCAATTCTCATCTCTGATAAAATAGACTTTAAAGCAACAAAGATCAAAAGAGATAAAGAAGGACATTACATAATGGTAAAAGGATCACTGCAACAAGAAGAGCTAATGATCCTAAATATATATGCACCCAATACAGGAGCACCCAGATACATAAGGCAAGTCCTTAATGACTTACAAAGAGACTTAGACTCCCACACAATAATAGTGGTTGTGTGGGAGACTTTAACACCCCATTGTCAATATTAGACAGATCAACCAGACAGAAAATCAACAAGGATATCCACGACCTGAATACAGACCTGGAACAAGCAAACCTAATAGACATTTACAGAACTCTCCACCCCAAATCCACAGAATATACATTCTTCTCAGCACCACATCACACCTACTCTAAAATTGACCACATAATTGGCAATAAATCACTTCTCAGCAAATGCAAAAGAACGGAAATCATAACAAACAGTCTCTCAGACCACAGTGCAATCGAGTTAGAACTCAGAATGCAGAAACTAACTCAGAACCGCACAGCTTCATGGAAACTGAACAACTTGCTCTTGAATGTTGACTGGATAAACAATGAAATGAAGGCAGAAATAAAGATGTTCTTCGAAACCAATGAGAACGAAGACACAACATACCAGAATCTCTGGGACACATTTAAAGCAGTCTCTAAAGGAAAATATATAGCAATGAGTTCCCACATGAGAAGAAAGGAGAGATATAAAATTGTCACCCTATCGTCAAAATTGAAAGAGCTAGAGGAGCAAGATCAAAAAAACTCAAAACCTAGCAGAAGACAGGAAATAATTCAGATCAGAGCAGAACTGAAGGAAATAGAGACACAAAAAAACTCTTCAAAAAATCAATAAATCCAGGAGCTGGTTCTTTGAAAAGATCAACAAAATAGACAGACCACTAGCCAGATTAATAAAAAAGAAAAGAGAGAATAACCAATTTGATGCAATAAAAAACGATAAAGGGGATATCACCACAGATTCCACAGAAATCCAAACCATCATCAGAGATTATTACAAACAACTCTATGCACATAAACTAGTAAACCTGGAAGAAATGGATAAATTCCTGGACACCTGCATCCTCCCAAGCCTAAACCTGGAAGAAGCCGAAACCCTGAATAGACCAATAACAAGGTCTGAAGTCGAGGGAGCAATTAAGAGCCTACCACCCAAAAAAAGCCCAGGTCCAGATAGGTTCACAGTCGTATTCTACCAGATACAAAGAGGAGCTGGTACCATTCCTTCTGAAACTATTCCAGACAATCCAAAAAGAGGGAATTCTTCCCAAATCATTTTATGAGACAAACATCATCCTGATACCAAAACCCGGCAGAGACTCAACAAGAAAAGAAAATTTCAGGCCAATATCCATGATGAACATAGATGAAAAAATCTTCAATAAAATACTGGCAAGCCGATTGCAACAGCATATCAAAAAGCTCATCCACCATGACCAAGTAGGACTCATCCCAGGGATGCAAGGCTGGTTCAACATACGCAAGTCCATAAACGTAATTCACCACATAAACAGAACCAAAGACAAAAACCACGTGATTATCTCAATTGATGCAGAGAAGGCCTTTGAAAAAATACAACAGCCCTTTATGCTAAAAACCCTCAATAAACTAGGTATTGACAGAACGTATCTCAAAACAATAAAAGTTATTTACGACAAACCAACAGCCAGTATCATACTGAATGGGCAAAAACTGGAAACATTCCCTTTGAAATCTGGCACTAGACAAGGATGCCCTCTCTCACCACTCCTATTCAGTATAATACTGGAAGTTCTAGCCAGAGCAATCAGGCAAGAAAAAGAAATAAAGGGTATTCAAATAGGAAAGGAGGAAATCAAATTGTCTCAATTTGCAGATGACATGATTGTATATCTAGAAGACCCCATCGTCTCAGCCCCAAATCTCCTGAAACTGATAAGCAACTTCAGCAAAGTCTCAGGATACAAAATCAATGTGCAAAAATCACAAGCATTCCTATACACCCGTAACAGACTTAAAGAGAGCCAAATCAAGAACAAACTGCCATTCACAATTGCTACAAAGAGAATAAAATACCTACAAATACAACTAACAAGGAACGTAAAGGACCTCTTCAAGGAGAACTACAAGCCACTGCTCAATGAAATAAGAGAGGACACAAACAAATGGAGAAATATTCCATGTTCACGGTTAGGAAGAATCAACATCATGAAAATGGCCATACTGCCCAAGGTAATTTACAAATTCAACGCTATTCCCATCAAGCTACCAATGACCTTCTTCACAGAACTGGAAAAAAACACCTTAAACTTCATATGGAACCAAAAGAGAGCCCGCATAGCCAAGTCAATTCTAAGCAAAAAGAACAAAGCCGGAGGCATCACGCTACCGGACTTCAAACTATACTACAAGGCTACAGTAATCAAAACAGCATGGTACTGGTACCAAAACAGAGATATAGACCAATGGAACAGAACAGAGGCCTCAGAGGAAGTACAACATACCTACAACCATCCGATCTTCAACAAACCTGACAAAAACAAGCAATGGGGAAAGGATTCCTTGTTTAATAAATGGTGTTGGGAAAACTGGCTAGCCATGTGCAGAAAGCAGAAACAGGACCCCTTTCGACACCTTACACCAAAATTAACTCCAGATGGATTAAAGACTTAAACATCAGACCTAACACCATAAAAACCCTAGAAGAAAATCTAGGCAAAACCATTCGGGACATAGGCATAGGCAAGGACTTCATGACCAAAATGCCAAAAGCAATGGCAACAAAAGCCAAAACAGACAAATGGGACCTAATCAAATTCCACAGCTTCTGCACGGCAAAAGAAACAGTCAGTAGAGTGAATTGGCAACCAACAGAATGGGAAAAAATTTTTGCAGTCTACCCATCTGACAAGGGGCTGATATCCAGAATTTACAAAGAACTAAAACAGATCTACAAGAAAAAAACAAGCAAGCCCATTCAAAAATGGGCGAAGGATATGAACAGACACTTTACAAAAGAAGACATACAGGAGGCCAACAAACATACGAAAAAATGCTCATCATCACTGGTCATTAGAGAAATACAAATCAAAACCAAATTGAGATACCATCTCACACCAGTTAGAATGGCGATCATTAAAAAATCTGGAGACAACAGATGCTGGAGAGGATGTGGAGAAATAGGAACACTTTTACACTGTTGGTGGGAGTGTAAATTAATTCAACCATTGTGGAAGACAGTCTGGCGATTCCTCAAGGACCTAAAAATAGAAATCCTATTTGACCCAGCAATCCCATTACTGGGTATATATCCGAAGGATTATAAATCATTCTACTATAAGGACACATGCACACGAATGTTCATTGCAGCACTGTTTACAATAGCAAAGACCTGGAACCAACCCAAATGTCCATCGATGATAGACTGGATAGGGAAAATGTGGTACATATACACCATGGAATATTATGCAGCCATCAAAATCGATGAGTTTGTGTCCTTTGTAGGGACATGGATGAACCTGGAAACCATCATTCTCAGCAAACTGACACAAGAGCAGAAAATCAAACACCGCATGTTCTCACTCATAGGTGGGTGTTGAACAATGAGGACACATGGACATGGACACAGGGAGGGGAGGACTACACACTGGGGTCCGTTTGGGGGGAAATGGGGGAGGGACGGGTGGGTGGGGAGGTGGGATGAGATAGCATGGGGAGAAATGACAGATACAGGTGAGGGGAAGGAAGGCAGCAAACTACACTGCCATGTGTGTACCTATGCCACAATCTTGCATGTTCTTCACATGTACCCCAAAACCTAAAATGCAATAAAAAAAAGACCCTATCCCATAGGCAACAGTGACTTAACACTTTACCCCTTGCATCCATCTGTCTCAGCAAAAGGTTCTCTTTCCCCATGCTCAGCAGTTACATTTTCCTCCTTTGTTTCTGTAAAACTGTTTCTTTCCTCAAGTTCTTCAATTACTGGATCCTTTCCTGCATCAAAATTTAAAAGACAAATCTTTTTTAAGAGGAAGACGCTGTTGTGGACATTTTTAACAGAGAAACGTACCATTTGTGGACTTTTTTTTTTTTTTTTTTTTGGCTGTCTGCCAACTAAAGCTTTAAAGCAGGGCTATACTTGGAATCACTAGCTCCTGACCATTTAATGGAGGCAATTTTGGAAGCCCTTCAGGTTCAAGTCCCAGTAAACTACACACTACAGATCAGACCCTTTGGACGTCAGGATCTCAGCCATGGAGAAGAGCTACTCTGAGACCACCTGCAACCTTGCCTGAGGTGGTACCTCCCGGGGGAAGTCTAAGGCCCTCGAGCCTGCTTTGAAAAACGGGATATCTTAGCACATGCACAGCAGACTCCAAAGCCATGAAGCCGCCAGGGTCCTTGGGCTGCCCATGTGACCCCAAGCAGAGAACAGACAGATGTCTCCTTGGGCTTGCACCCTTCTTCCAGGTCCCCTTGGGCTGTGTTTACCTGCATGCTCCTTGTCCTGGGAGGCCATAACTTGAGCCTTCAGCTGGGTCTTGGCAGCCCTCCTGCGGCGCTTCCTTCTGACGGGTGCCATGGCTGGCCGTCCTGGGAAGCTAAAGGCGACCCCTGAACCTGGTGAGTGCAAAGACAACTAAGGAAGCTAAGGAAAGGAGACGCCGGAAAGGAAAGCCATCGGGATCGCAGGTTCAAGATGGGTGGGGCTGGCCCTCCCCGAGTCCCCTGTGGGGGCAGGAGGAGATGGAGAAGATGCCAGTGTCCCCTCCTGTCCTGGCCCGTGCAACCCATCCCCCGGGTTGGCTCTGCCTCGCACATCTGCCTCTGGTTCCGCCAGAGACATGTGTGGCCCAGAGGACTGCAGGTGACACAGGATCTCCCCAGCCATCTCCAGGGGAATGTCAGGGGCTGAATTGCCACTTATCTGCCCGCCTGGATGCCAGGTGACCCCTGGTGACCCCGTGTCCTGTCCTGACGGGAGGCTGGGCTGGAGGAACCCACTTGGACTGTTCCCAACAACCCCCAACACCTTCCCTCTTATGAATCCTCAGCCCCTCCTTCTCCCCTCCCCACAATCCCTGTCCATCCCCTCACCCCACCGCTCCCCTATCCCGCCGCCACCTCTTGCCCCATCCCCAGCCCCCATCTGTCTGCCACTCTCCCCCTCCCCACTCTGCCACCTCCCTCCCCTTCCGTGCGGCCTCCTTCCCTCTCCCACCCCTCTCCCTGCACACATGCACAAGCCCCCGGGAAACTCCAGGGCCCTGGGGATCACCCAGATGGCTCCAGCTCCCTCCCTGCCCCGGCCCACCTCAGCCCACGCCCTGACCCAGGCCCCAGGTGACAACGCCAAGGCCATTTCCTCACAGGTGGGCTGGCTGCCCAGCACTTCACAGCCTGGTTCCCAAACGGCCTCATGCCCGCCTTCCCGCCTCCCCACCACAAGCGAGCTCATTACCCTAGGGACCCCTGACGTGGCTCTCTCACAGAACCTATAGACACTGATACCGCGTGACTCTCTTAGAAAATGGGTCCTCAGCTCCTGTGAGAGCAGCCGGTCTGGCTTCCAGCGCTCGCTTGGTCTGGCTTCCTGCGCTCGCTCGGTCTGGCTTCCGGTGCTCGCTCCGTCTGGCTTCCGGTGGCGCTCGGGGCTAGCTCGGTCTGGCTCGGGGCTTGCTCGGTCTGGCTTCCCGCGCTCGTCGCTGATTGGTCAGCTCAGTGCGCATGCGGGTAAAGGACTGTGTGGGGCCAACCCACGCTGGTGCACCTCCCTCTTTCCCTAAGCACCACTCATGGTTGCTGTGGACTGAGGTGGGGGGACTCTTTGGGGCCTTTGTCGCCACAGTCTTTTGGGGTCTGTGTCCCCACAATCTTTCCGCTCTTTCTCTTCAGGAGGGATGCAAGGACTCGGGATCGAGGCCAAGTTGACATGGCCTAGAACCTCGTCCGGAGGCTCATTCCAGCTACCTCTGCCCCTTTGGTTGGAATGGCCATCGCCCTGCCGGTGGAGCCCAGGCTCCCTCTCATTCCCTCTGTACTTCCAACATGCCCAACTGCATCCTTTTAATCAATGGATGGTGCTTTTGTTTTTTTGTTTCTTTGTTTTTGAGATGGAGTCTCCCTCTGACGTCCAGGTTGGAGGGCAGTGGCACGATCTCATCTCGCTGCAACCTCCACCTCCCAGGTTGAAGCGATTCTCCCACCTCAGCCTCCCAAGGAGTTGGGACTACAAGTGCGTGCCACCATGCCCAGCTAATTTTTGTATTTTTAGTAGAGACAGGGTTTCATCATGTTGGTCAGGCTTGTCTCGAGTGAGATCCGCCTGCCTCAGTCTCCCAAAGTTCTGGGATTACAGGTGTGAGCCACCATGCCTGGCCCCAAAGTCATGTTTTTAAAGGCTTCAACTGTATGATGTATAGTTGTTTCCAAGAAATGGTGACTAAACGGTACTGATTGTGAAACTTGTCATTTCTTTATTCAAAAAATGTCAACTGGTTTCCTGCTGGTTCTTTCCACTTAAGGTGGCCATAGAAATCCCAGGGGTGACCCTCGAGTTGTCAGAGGCCTTTCTTGTTGCAGTAAGGTTGGCCTCCTGATAGTAACAGATACACCCCACTCATGGTTATTTCAGGATCAAGTAGATCCATTGGCCATGGAGTGATGGCCTTTTCAAGTAAGGCTATATTGAGAGATAATAAAATATTTGCGCACTTAATTTATTTCTCATTTGTACTTGCTTGTTTTTTTGTTTGTTTTGTTTTGTTTTGTTTGAGACAGTCTCCCTTGATCACCAGGCTGGAGTGCAGTAGTGGCAGAATCCAGGCTCACTGCAACCTCTACCTTCCGCATTCAAGCCATTCTCCCTTCTCAGCCTCCCTTGTAGCTGGGACTACAAGCGTGTGCCACCATGCCCAGCTAATTTTTGTATTATTAGTAGATTCAGGATTTCACCATGTTCACCAGGATGGTCTGGATCTCCTGATCTCCTGAGCCACCTGCCTCGGCCTCCCTAACTGCTAGGATTACAGGCATGAGCCACTGCGCCCAACCTGTACTTGCTTGTTTTAAAATATGGTTCTGCACTTAAATATTTTTGACAAGATGAATGATAGATCTATGTTTTCACATTACAAAACATACACAAATTATTATTAAGGTAAGTCAACAATGACTGTAAATAGAACATTCTATTTCATTATTAATTTTCATTAGACTTTCAAAACATTTTTCTGTATAACATATTCAGAATATTTTGAATTCAGCAATGCAGTCAGAAGTTTCATATAAGTGGCTGTGTGTAGTGGCTCATGCCTGTAATCTCAGCACCTTGAGAAGCTGAGACAGGCAGATCACTTGAGGCCACAAGTTTGAGACTAGCCTGGCCAGCATTGATGAAACCCCGTTTCTACCAAAAATACACACAAAAAGTTAGGTGGATGTGGTTGTGCATGCCTGTAATCCCGGATACTTGGGGGGCTGAGGTGCGAATATCACTTGAACCCAGGAGGCAGAAGTTGCGGTGAGCAGAGATCGTGTCACTGCATTCCAGCCTGGGCAACAGAGTGAGACTTTGCCTTAAAATGAAATAAAATAAAATAATAAAATATTAATATCATACAACCTAATTATTTCCTTACTTCATATATGTATATATATATATATGTTTTTATTTTTTTATTTAAATATTTACTTTGTGCATATTGCTGTGTATTAACCAAGCTTCAGAGCTGTCAGAGCAAACCTCAAAGACTAGGAGCTGACAGCTAAAAAGCCAAGCAAAACAAAACAGCCTGTTTCTCAAGGACTAGGATTTTTAGTACAATTACATTTCCTTGCCCTGTAAATAACCAGATGCAATGACCCATAGATACAGCCAGTGTAGGAAATATTTCAACCTAACATAATAGTGTCTAAAGGGGTTACTAATTGCTATAGTCAATTTATTTCAGCCATTTGATTGGAATTCCTATTAATTGGAATTAATGGTAAATATATGGAATGTCATATGGTGAAACAATCTATTTAGAGCACACCAACTTTCATGGAAAAGAAGTAACTAATGACTTTTTCTTTTTTGTAAATAATTTGTTCTTTAATAAAGACCAATTTCAGAACGCGAACTCCTACTACAGAACACACGTGGGCAAGTGCCTTCATCGCAGGGGCAATGAGGAGGAAAACACCGGGAATCTTGATGTCACTCACAGGTTCGCTGATCCGAGCTGATTTGGGGCAGTTGGTTTTTAGGATCTGTGTCACATGTCTCTAGGGAAATGGACTCTCCCTGCAGTCTTTCTGTAAGAAAGCATTTGCTGAGCAGAAAGCCAGCTCCCTCCTGGGCACCGCCACACCTTTGTAGGTGCACGTGACCCTAGGCTTCCCTCCAAGGGAATACGCCCAGCTGAGCAAGGTAATAGTCTGTATCTGTTTCTGTAAGGTAAGCTGCCAAGGAGAGTCTAACTAGATTTTAACTAGAAAATGTGCTCCTTCTAGTGAAGACAGCACGTTTCCCTTAGCAAGGTCCATGCAAGTAGCACCTCCAAGGAGTCCTCGTGCACAGGTGGCAGCGCTGCCCCAGCTCTGCAGCACAGCCGGAGGGTGATGGGGACACTGGGCCACGGGGAGTTGTGTGTATCACCAGGCCATATCCCTCTCCTCATCCCTTTGGGCTGCTATAAAGGAATATACAGACTGTGTGGCTTGTCAACATTGGTTCACAGTTCTGAAGGCTGGAAGTTCAAGACCAAGTTGCCAGCAGATTGGATGTTCTGGTGAGGACCCGTGTCCTGGTCACAGATGGAATCTGCTTGCTGCAACCTCACCAGGTAAAGAGAGGGCAGAGCACCCATTGGAGCCACCATCCCAAGGGCGCCAATCCCATCATAAGGCCCCACCCTCATGACCCAGTAACCTCCAAAGGCCCCATCTCACACCATCACCCTGGGGCTGAGGAGTCGAACATATACATCTTGGGGGACACAGCAATCCTGATGACCACCCCACTCCAATCAACTCAGTTTAAAGGGATCCAGGAGTGTGCCAGCCCCTGAGAGCTGGGCAGTGACCCTTCTGCCTTTGACACCTTCACAGAGGCTGCTGAACCCTGCCAGAGGGATCCCTGCCCCATGGGTGTGCAACAAATTTACCCGTGTCCTTGGGTCTCAAATCCTTTTCTAGGCACTGAGGCAGCTTTGTCCTCAAAAACATCTATAGCCACCTCTCACTCTCCTCCTTAATGCCAGCCTCACCCAATCCCTCCATCTCTGAATCTGGAAGCCCACCTTTTTTTCTGGACACCAGCATGATGGGGCTGATCAAGACAGATTGAGCGTTACCCACAGAACACAGTCATGGAGGAATGGCCTGGGAGCCAGGAGGAACATTTCAGGATTGTGAAAAACCAAATGTTATAAAAGATCAGTTCTCCCCAGATTATTCTACAGATCCCACAGAGACCTTGTAAATAACTCAGTGGGACACGTGTGTGTGTGTAAACTGACATGCTGTTCCTAAAATTTATATGGAATGCAAAGGGCAAAATACAGCCAAGATAAACATGAGGAAAGAGGAAAAAATTTAGACTACCAGCGATCAAGAATGTTGATAAAGCTACAGTAATGTACACCATGAGTGTTCCTGCAGGGTCCACAGAAATCTGTGAAACAGAATAGAGTGTCCAAAACCCAAATCATCCATATATGGACCCTTAAGTTATGAAAAAGACAGTATGTGTTGAGGGAAATGGCATTGTCAACCAATGGGCTGTGTAAGTTTGATACCCATAAAGAAATTATTGACTCTGAGAATCTCACACCTTGCAAAAACCCAATTCCAGATGGAATGTTGACCTACATTTAAAAAGTAAAAACAAATAAAAATAATTATGTCTCCCAAAGAATAACATAAGAAAAATGAGTGCTATTATTTGGGGACTGTGAAAAGACCACTTACAGAGAACTCAAAGGCACTAAATCACTGACAAAAAGATTCAAAGTTAGCTTGCTGTCATCAAAGAACACCATTAAGAAAGTGCAAAGGCCACAGAGAATACGTCTGCTACATACACATAACCAACAGGTACAAGATAGAAAGCAATGTAGATTATACGTTTAAAATACTTTTATAAACCAACAAGAAAAAGACAGAACCAGCAGATGACTGAGCAGGTCATTAATAAAAGATGCTCCTCAATAGGGCCAATAAATAGACAAAAAGGTATACAGCCTCATTAGTCTTTGTGGGTGTGCGAATTAAAACCACAGTGTTGAACAATGAGAACACATGGACACAGGGAGGGGAGCACTACACACTGGGGTCTGTTGGGGGGAAATGGGGGAGGGGCGGGGGGGCGGAGAGGTGGGAAGAGATAGCATGGGGAGAAATGACAGATACAGGTGAGGGGACGGAAGGCAGCAAAGCACACTGCCATGTGTGTACCTATGCAACAATCTTGCATGTTCATCACATGTACCCCAAAACCTAAAATGCAATAAAAAAAAAAGAAAAAAAAAAAAAATTCCTGGAAAAAAAAAAAAAAAAAAAAAAAGATTAAATACATGATAAATAGATGGAATGACAGAATAAAATAAGAGTGGGAAGACAGATAGATAGATATAGGTATGACAGCCGAAGATGGGGAGAGAAGACTTTTCAGGTGGGGGAATCTTGCTTCCAAAGACAGGAAGGTTGAGCCAGGCTTGCTGGGGATACTGGTAGACAGCTGTTTGGTGGACACAAATGTGAAGGTAGATGGTTCTGTCCAAGAGTAGACCCACACATGTACTCCAGTTATTTCATGGCCCAGAGCAAAACTCCCACAGGAAACAAGGGCTTTCTGGTGGCTGCACTCTTCACCACTTACCGTCTGATGAGCCTCACGCTGGCTTTCCTGTGCGCTGGGCCCCACGCCTCCTTGCATACCTCTCCCTGCCCATCCATACTGGGTATCCCACTCACAGCACCCAACCTCGGGTGGGAGATAAGGGAAGCTCATGTCTCTGAGGCTCTCCCTTTGGGGGGTAAAACTAACATACCTCCACCTCACTTTCAGTAAGGCAGGGACGTTCAGAGAAGAATTCCAGTGTACTGTGTTAAGAAGCTCTGGGGGAAAATTAGGAGAATCGGGAAATTCATTTATTATCAAGACAGTCATATTTGTTAGGAAATATTGCATTACAAATTAGAAATAATTCCTGCACAATATATTTTTTACGTCTTACTTTATACTTAGTCCCCCTTCATGTTACATCATAGTCTTTTTTTTCTTTTTTTCCTTTTTGTGGAGAATGGAGTCTGGCATATTGCCCAGGCAGGTCTTGAACTCCTGGGTTCAAGCTATCCTCCCTCCTCTGCCTCTCTAAGAGCTGGGATTATAGGCATGAGCCATGAGAAGATGCACAGCAAGATCCAGCCGCTTCTTTGCTGAGTTTTGACCTTTCTAGTAAGAGCCCATCCTGCAGCACCATCAAGACTGGGGGTGCACAGCGACCCAGGCCAGGGACCCTCCCTTCCACTGGGGACCACGGCGCCCCCTCCCCGCCAGTCCCAGCGCATGCCCCAGGGCCCCAGTCATCTCCTACCGTGTCAGGAAATTATGAAAGCAAAATTAATTTCCATCCTCTTCAGCTTAAAGAAAGAAAAGACGCGACACGGTTAATAGAACACGGTGCCCACGCCGACATCAGACAGGGCGGCGCGGCCCCCGCGGGGCCTGGATTCCGGGCCGCCCACTCCCGCCGCACAGGCGCCTACAGCGCAACCCCACGGCCGGGTGCTCAGACGGTGACCACCCAAGCAGGACCCCTCCCCCGGGACAAAGGGTGCTGGGCAGGGAGCAGAGACCCCCACACCCGGTCTCACCGGACACGCAGGAGACCAGGAAGTGAGGGCAGGCAAAACATTCAGCAGTCCTTGGAGGGAAGAGTACTCACAGGCACAGCAGATGACGCAGGCACGCAGTACGAATGCCATTTTAAAAATCAGTACCAACCAGGTCAAGTGTGGTGGCTCACACCTGTAATCCTAACACTTTGACAGGCCGAGGTGGAAGGATTCCTTGAGGCCAGGAGTTCAAGACCAACCTGACCAACATAGTGAGACCGCCATCTCTAAAAGAAAAAAAAGAAAAGAAATGGAAAGAAGAACAAAAAAATTAACACCAACAAATACAGTGAGATCAAAGAACACTAGCTACCATCTACTCTTGGTTTAATAATCTTAAATCCTTGAGAAGGTTGGCATACGTGGAGTCTCTCCAGGAAGACATTTGAGGCAGAAAACTGGAATAGGAGCAGGCAACGTGTCATTTCATCTTCTGAAATGGGGACTTTACTAACTCACCTGAGTATAAAGTTGAGAAAAAAGATATTTTTCAGGAGTGTTCAATTAAACGTCATTCTGTTTATCAAAACAGGGAAATATGGCACCAATTTTTAACCATATGGGATTTTTGAAAATATATGAGAAACATGTGATTATGTGTTTAGCTGAATATTATTTAAAATGTATGCAAAATGCTGACAGGACTTTTGAACTAAGTTCCTAAAATCATCCTCAGGTGCATCCTATTTGATATGCTGCTGTGCGCATAAAATTATTCCAATAGAAATAAAGCAGAGCCTCAGTGAAACCAACCCAGCCCCCTTTAATGAGCTGCTTCTTGTAATTGCAGATACCCATTATTGTTTACTATGACTGTAATATAACAAGCCAAAACCTATAATTTTTTAAAGGAATAGAACCAACATAAAAACAAAGGTGTCTCATACTACTTACAGAAGATAAATGTATCCTGCAAGCTGAATAATGGCGCATCAGCTTGTGCTGTTCTAAATCATCTAAATATCATCAGTGCCTTTCGTTACAGCCTCATGTCCAGTGCTTAAAAAATCAAAGTTCACTTTCAAGGAACGTCATTTAGAAACTGCTGATCATCTATGCTTTGGGAGGTCAAGGACACTCTTATTTCCTTTATACTTACAAGTTGAATTTGATGTTTGCCAATATAGACTTAGGTATAAATTTCACATCAAGATGCTAAGCAGAGCCCCATACAGAATATTTCTGAATGTGATTTGTTAAATATAAGATTATTTTTATGATTGGGACATTACAGATGCGATCATCAATGGATTTAAAAAAATAAATTTTAACAACTTCCTCTTGCATCAAGTTGAAACTCATGTCTCAATAGAGCAAGTTTCAGGAACAGGTGGGATTTCAGGTAACATGGAGAACAGCAGCTCAGATCCACTTCTTAAAGGGAGATTCCCCCTTGACGTGAAGCCAGCAACTCACTCTGCAGGCAGAACATGCAGCATATTTCCATGCCAGGGAGAGGAAGGTGTGACCTCATTCATTCACTCATTCAGTCATTCCCTTATTCATTTATCTAATAGTTGTCAAAACTCCTAGTATGTGTTGGGCATGGTACTACATGCTAAGTATATAAAATCTCTTTTCTAAACTCAAAGAGTTGTAAGTAGGTGGTAGGAGTGGTCAGGGTAAAATATATTTATGAAAGGAAGAAATTTCAGTGACAAGTGCTACAATAGATGGTAAGTGATATAGAAGCCACAGGGAAAAAGGACAGATTATTTATAGTGTGGATAGGAAAGACTTTACACAGGAGAAAGTATCTGAGATTAGTTTAAAAGAATAAGGACAAAAAGTTACTCCAGTGGAAAATAGGGATAAAAATTAGAAAAATGGGGCATTTTACTTTGGGAGTTGTAAAAGGTGGAGTATACTTGGAAAAAATAAGTTTTCCGCAGAAATGTAAGAGATGTCACAGTCTGTGTGAGTTATAGTTTCAGGAGATAAAGTTGAAGATATTTGGGTACAATATCTTATGGTATATTATAAGCCAAGAGAGAATATAGGTTTTACTTTTGCAGGTCAGTGGTTCTCAACTGGAGGCAACTTCATGCCCCATCCCTGGGATATTTGACAAGGTCTATATTTTGCTGGTACAACTGGGGAGGGGGACAGGCTACTGGCATCTAGCAGATGGAGACCAGGGATACCGCTAAGCATCCTACACTACACAGGGCAGTCCCTGCAGCAAAGACTGACCCAAATGTCGACAGTGCTAGGGTGTGCAACCTTACTCTAGATCAGGCGTCCCCAAACTTTTTACACAGGGGGCCATTTCACTGTCCCTCAGACCATTGGAGGGCTGCCACATACTGTGCTCCTCTCACTGACCACCAATGAAAGAGGTGCCCCTTCCTGAAGTGTGGCGGGGGGCCGGATAAATGGCCTCAGGGGGCCGCATGCGGCCCATGGGCCGTAGTTTGGGGACGCCTGCTCTAGATCATGGAGAGTAACTGAAAGATTTTACATATGGGAGAGAAGAGGTAGTTTCTAGGAACACGATGTGACACCTTCCAGGAGGTTTGCCACATCATGATGGTCATCAGAATGTTGTGTGTCAATAAGACAAACAATATTTGCCTGCAGGGAGAAAGATCAACTAATTTCTTCAGCATCTACTCTGCACTGGACATTCAGTGTGTTATATCAATTCCCACATGATATTGGCAACTGCTACTTTCCACAGCAGTGGGGAACGTCAGATGAAACAGGATGAGACTAGACGCTGGGAGATACATCAATGTTCACTCTTACATGAAAACAGTGGAGGTCTGGACTGCAGCAGTGTCCATGGAGATGGAGATGTGAGAACAAAGAGGAAGATCAAATCAAAAGGAATTTTTTACCAATTACATGTGAGAAGGGATTAGCCACCAAATGGAAGGTTTACAGAATGACTTTGAGGTGGCTGGTTCAGAAGAGTGGGTAGCTGCAGAGACTACAAAAGAAAGTCTCAGAGGACAGGTACAGGGCTACCCACACTTGTGACCTGTGAGGTGCTCATGGGAGATTCAGATGTAGATGCCTGGTAAACAAAGGGAAAAGTAAGTCTCCAGTTGTAAAGAGATCTCAAACAGAGATGTGTTTAAGAGTTTGCAACATCATGATGGTCATCAAAACACTGGGTGTCATTGAGAGAAACAGTTGCCTGCAGGGAGAAAGATCAACTTAATTATTGAATATCTACTCTGTGCTGGACACTCCATGTGTTATCGTCTCAATCTCCCCATGATATTGGCAAGGAGACTGAATGCACACAGGCCTAGGAAGGTGCTCAAAGTCAGACAGCCAGTCAGAAGTAGAGCTAAGCTTGCAACAATGTCTCTCCAAAACCAGTCCCCATCCATTCATTCTTTCAATAGTACTTATAAAGTGAATTGCTGAGAGGAGAGGAGAAGCTACAGAACAGGTTGAGAAGGAAGACCCTGAGATGGGAAAAGAAAAGGTGAAGAATGATGTCATCAAGTCCAAAGGAAGGAAGAGCTTCAAGTAATAGTTTCAGTTATCAATTATAAAAAGACTCAGAGTCAGACCAGAGGATGTTTCTGTCATAAATTGCTATCCAAATGATATCAAGTCATGCACACACACACAGAGTTTTATCAGAATTAGGATGTGTACACTGCATTAGACACTGACCATCATCAGGGACTTGCTAGAGTGGAAGGAGCAAAAACCGACAGTAATTTGTAGGAAAGTACTTAGCATTTGAGGTATTAGAGCCAGAAGAACAGAAGGAAGGTGGGGTGGTTGCTAAAGGGAAACTATTTTTTTTTTTTTTTTTTTTTTGAGACGGAGTTTCACTCTTGTTACCCAGGCTGGAGTGCAATGGTGCGATCTCAGCTCACCGCCACCTCCACCTCCTGGGTTCAAGCAATTCTCCTGCCTCAGCCTCCCAAGTAGCTGGGACTACAGGCATGTGCCACCATGCCCAGCTAATTTTTGTATTTTTAATAGAGACGGGGTTTCACCATGTTGACCAGGATGGTCTCGATCTCTTGACCTCGTGATCCACCCGCCTCGGCCTCCCAAAGTGCTGGGATTACAGGCGTGAGATTTTACAG